GGGCAGCGGCGTCAAGGGCTCGTGGACGTACGAGGGCAGGAGCGTCAAGGGCTCGTCCGCGGGCGTGCCCGGCGGCCTCTTCCCGTCGCCCGACGGCGAGGCCGCGGGCGCCGGGACGCCCGAGCCCGCCGCGGCGTCGCCCGGCGCCTCGCGGCCGCGGGCGGCCCGACGGGCGCGCGCGCCGCCGGCCGCGCGCGCCGCGGACCGGCCCGGCGCCGCCCACGAAGCAGTCCGGCGCGCTCCTCCCGTCGCCCGACGGCGAGGCCGCGTGCGCCGGGACGCCCGAGCCCGCCGCGGCGTCGCCCGGCGCCTCGCGGCCGCGGGCGGCCCGACGGGCGCGCGCGCCGCCGGCCGCGCGCGCCGCGGACCGGCCCGGCGCCGCACGTCCGTCGGCGCCGCGGAGCGGCCGCCCTCGACGACGGCGACGACGTGCTCGAGGAGCACGCCCCAGAGGCCCGGCGCGTCGAGGCCGCGGCGCTCGAACGCGGCCTTGAGCTGCGGCACCGCGAGCAGGCCGAGGTCCGCGCGCAGTCGCCGCCCACGAAGCGGTCCGGCGCCCTCTTCCCGTCGCCCGGCAGCGAGGCCGCGGGCGCCGGGACGCCCGAGCCCGCCGCGGCGTCGCCCGGCGCCTCGCGGCCGCGGCCGCGGTGGGACTCGATGCCGTCGGCGGACCGCGCGCGGCCGAGGTCGTGCGGGCCGCGGGCCCCGCCGACGCCGGGCCCGGGCGCCTCGCGGGCGACGGGGCTCGGGGCGCCTTCGACGCCGTCCTCGCGGACGAGCGGGTCGACGACTTCGCGGGCGGCCCGAAGAGCGCGTGCCGCCGGCCGCGCGCGCCGCGGAGCGGCCCGGCGCCGCCCACGAAGCGGTCCGGCGGTGGCTACAAAACACTCTTCATCGGACGCTGGTCGTCGCTTCCGATGAACTCTCGCCGCGCGCGCTGATCCTCGTCGCGCGCCGCCTTCTTCGCCGCGGCCGCCCCGGCCGGGTCCGTCGGAAACTGGGCGTCGAGGCGAGGGTGCGCCGGCGTTCCCGGCGTGGTCAGGCGGTCATATCGGTTGGGAGGACAAAAGTCATGGCCCCACACGTCGTGGTAGTCCGCGCGTTCCCAATTGTCGCGACAGCACTTGCAAAAGTATGCCCCGTGGTCCGCACAGACCTTGTCCTTGCACGACCCGCACGCGAAGCCGCGCCGGCACGTGCCATAGGTGCCCGCCGGGTAGGCGCCATCGCAATAGGCCGGGTCCTCCGCCGCCGGGATCTCCTTTCTGCACTCGCAGCACATGTTGTAGTCTCCCACGGGGTTCCGAGAGACGTCGACCTGGGACACCCGCCAGCACTGTCTGCGCAAGTCCTCCAGCGGGACCTGTTGCACAACAAGGCAGTCGCCCTTCTGGTTGTTGCGTCGCTTCGCGCGGGCCAGCACTACCTTGGCCTCTTCCCAGCTCCGGACGAGCTCCCATCCTACGGAGCTCGACTCGTGGAAGAAGTCGTCGATGCGCACCGTCGCCGGCGCGTCTCCGCTGGCCTCGACGACGCGCCAGCGACGCCAGGCCTCGTCGGGTGGTATTTCACTGAAGAACGGCAACTGCGCGAGGTAGTACTCGCCGAGGACTCCCGCCGGGACGATGCCATCCGGGTCGGCGTCGCCGTCGTCGCTGGCGGTCGGAAAGGCGTCCGCCTCGTCCTCGGGGCCGCCGACGGGCGCCGCGGGCGCAGCTGCCGGAGCCCCGGGCGCCGCGGCCGGCGCCGCGGCCGGCGCCGCGGGCTGGGCAGGTGCGGGCGCAGCGACCGGCGCCGCAGCCTGCTGCTCTTCGACGAGGCCTCGGTGGTGGCTCGCGGCCTCGTGACGCTCACGCAAATCGTTATGGATGGCTAGGCGGCACACGGTGCAGTGGTAATGATCAGCAGCGGGAAATGCGACCAGCCGTCGCCCGTTCTCTTTCGCCTGCCGCCATGTATGCGCCTTCGCATGATAAGTACGACAATGGGCAGGGAATTGGGTGCGCCCGATGCCGACGCCGCAGTACATGCATTCCATCGTGGACGACGCGACTCTACTTCGGAGTCGTCCAGGCCATCCTCGGCAGCCAAAAACGCCCTCAACATATATTCAACCAAGCGATTCTTGAAGGAGTTTCTGCGGAGAGCATGGGCTGCTTCGCAGTTCGCGTCTCGCAGCCAAAACCGGTCGCCGTGGCAAAGGCCGCCAAAGCCACGCGCTCCGCGTCGCACCAGTGCACAGCAACGCGTGCGCAGACGTTTTAGTCCGAGTTCCCCTGGGACTAAGGCTGCCAGCCGCTGGAGGCGGCAGGCGGCCCGTGGCCGCGTCTGGCACGTGACGCGGCCCTCTCGCGCAGACACGCTGGACGCCAAGGGGCCGGGCGCGCACGGCGGCACGGCGCCGCCGAAAGACGGCCGTGCCGGCGCTCGGGCGAACGCATCCGACCTCGGCGACCGGCGGCGCCGACGCGCTCGAGGCCTTGCACATCCGTGACCGCGCCAGATCCGAGGCGGAGGCGCGCTCCTCGGACGCGACGGCGCACGATACCGTCGCGCCTCGCGCGAAACGCGCTGCGTCGCCGACAGACCGACGAAATCCCACGGGCCGAGGAACGATGTATGGAGCAAGCGCGAGGCGCGGGACCGCCGCCGTCTCGAGCTCCGCGCTCCGGCCTCGCTGCGCGGCGATCGCCGCCCCCCCCCGCAAAGTCCCGGACACTCGTCCAGCTCACGCAGTGAACCGCGCGCGGCGCCTCCGCGCCGCGGCGCCGGCCCGGCGCCTCCGCGACCGAGCGCGCGCCGAGCCCGACCCGACGAGGATGGTACGCCCGGCGCACGCCGCCCGGCGCACGCCGAATGCGCGCCAGGACACGGCGTACTCCCGGCGCACACCAGACGGCGTACGCCCGGATTCGACGAAGACCAAGGTTACACCTGGAGTACACGTCGGCCTGGAGCACGCCAGGCGTACTCCCGAGTCAGCGCACTCTCGGCGCACGCCGGGCAGCAGGCGTATCCCAGGCGTACGCCGACCGGCGTACGCCGAGCGTACGCTTGGCGCTCGGCGTGGGCCCGGCGTACCCCGCCGTGCTCCGTGTTGAGGCTCGTCGCACGGCTGCGACTGCCGCGCAGCGTGCGCGCGTCTCGGACCGGCTTGGAGCGCATGTCGCAGCCGCACGCACTTTTGGGGAACGACAAACTCCCACCGCGTGTCGCCGGAGCGATGGAGCTCATCCAGGACTTCGGGCCCTCGGACCCGCCGGGCCAGGCTCAAACATTCGGTCTGACGGGCGCCGGGTCTTTGAACGGGGGCGCGAAGAAGCGCGGCCGCGGGTCCGGTGGCCCGAAGACGCTCTTCGCGAACAAGATCAACGCGTCCCAGAGCCCGTCGTCGGCGAGGCCCTCGCCGCGGCCCGCCGCGCCCGCCGCGAAGATCCCGAAGAAGGCCGCGCGGCCGGCGGCGCCCGCGCGGCCCCCGGCCGAGGCCCGCGCCCGGGACGCGGACTGCGAGAGCCAGGAGGCCGTGCTCGGGCTGCTCGACACGCTCGAGGAGATCGACGTCGCGCGGGCGGACGACGTCGACGG